CCTTCTTCATTATTCTCATCATATTCATTATATATGATTATCTCATCATCGTTAAGAACTTCGTAATCATGGAGTATTTGCATCCTGCAACCTTTTCTGACAAATTTCTTTATATTAATTTTCGAAAAAAAAAAATGGAAGCTCATTTTAGTTTGAATTTTAAATAATAATAACTGTAGGTTTTTGTGTACGTTCTATTGTTCTGAAGCGGTGTATAGTTAGAAAAAAACACAAACAGGTACCATATAATACCACCAAAAACGTCATGTAAATAACACAGACTAATAAAACACACACACCCACGATAACTATCTTAGCAGGACATCGTAAAGTCACTGGACTTTACCAGATCCATCTCACAAGTCACAAAAAGGAAATCCAACGCAGCTGTAACAAAAAAGAAGATAAAGTGTGCCATAACAGTTTTACAGTTTGTTCCAACAATGGCAATGATAACAGTGGGTCACCATTGGTCAATGGCCTCACTCCTAAAATTGATGACTTAGCTTAAACAGAGAAACTAGAACCTACTAATTCGAAATCAGCCTAAGATCACCTCTATGATGTGAGACATTAAACCTACAACCAAACATATAAAGTTGAAATTTCTTTGTTGCGTTCAACATTTTACGATGTTTAGCAATAAAATGGACAGGCACATTAAGGACATATGTTGCAAAGGTGAGAATGTTAAGATTGTTCTTGAGATAAGTGCGAAGATTGGGTATGGCTCTCAAGTACCCGCTGGACTGTAATGAAGGACAATAAATCGTGGATAGTGTTGCGAATTCGTTTTATTCGAGTGTCGGTTCGAGAGCACGTGAGGACTTTTCGAATAGGAATGACATTATTTGCGATGGAAAATCGATGAAATTGGTTAAGAATAAAATTTAAAAGGTGTTAAATACTCCTGTTGTTTCTAAGCAAGGTTCTTAAGCTACACGTACTTCTATCATATAATAATATATTAGTGTTCCTAAATTTTATTTTAATGTCCGTCTGGTACCTACAATAAATTAAAACTTTATACACGTATTTTTTCTTTTCTCACAAAATTAAATAATTTCGACGACATATTAATTTAAAATATCGTGCGACGTCACAGCGTTTGGTATCACGTTATGACGTAACGACCTTCCACTCCTAAACTTAGCACCATTTTATCTAAGTATTGCAATTTATTAGGAGAAATTAAAAAATACGTGTCGAATATTTTTTCATTATCTAACTGACGGACTAATTAGATTTTTAATTTTGATACCCTGGAACTACCCGATTCCATCGCGATTCGAAAACCGTTCTTGACAACATGGTTCCAAATGCACAGTCGAAAACTTTAGTTCAAATGTTCGTTCTATGTAGGTAATTATAGATTATCAAAAAATTAGGAAGATTCGAATAGAAGGTAAGCTTCAATTTCAGAATCGATTCCTCCAAGTAAATAGAAACCTCGCATCACTAACGCGAAGAAACATCGGGTGCAAGTGAAGTATGGCGTGCAATCATCTGTCGCTTACGTAACTGATAGCTATGGGGCACAAGTTCTATCGAAGTTAGCTTACCCTGATGTATTTGCAAGATCTAATTGATTCTTCAATGATTAGTTAGTATTTGTTGACTTTTTATTTATATTGAAATTCAAAGCATTTATGTCCTTTAATCCACATATTATAGGCTGTGCTTTTGAAATTTTAAAATGGAATTGCTCATCAGTAAAGCTAGTTTGCTCCTTCCAAAACCTATGTTAATGCGTATGACGAAGAACGAAATAACAAATCCATCATTTTGTTTACTTCAAATTCAGTAACAAACAGAGCTGACTGAAAATAATACACAATATTTAAATCGATGAGGTTTTATAGCAACAATTTGATCGAACAGAAAACTTAAATTTGCGCTCAATACCCTAATATCATAACACTCATAACATAAAACGCCAACCGATTTTATGACAAACACTTCCTACATCCCCTAAAAATATTAAACAATTTACGACCTTCGAGGCCTTTATAACAATCAATAAACTTACATCTTAAGAAATACAACAGTTTTTCAATAGCTACAACTATAATGTTATGTCGTATGTATGTTGGGGTCATAAAACCGATACAGAGTGTCATATAAACACCGTTTTATGACACAAGCGTCAGTGTGGGCGGAAGAACGGAATTACTTCATTTTGTTCAGTTTTATAGGAAATTTAGTGATCTTAGGAATTGTTTGTGGCTTTGCGCAGGCTTGGACGGCGATCAAGTATGTATGTTGTGTGGCGTGGTTTTATGGTCTAGTGTAATACTGGAAAAAGTGGTTGTGAATAAAAAAATAATTTATAAAATTGTGGGTTTGGTGTAGTGTCACATTTTTAATGGTGGTCATGGAAGTATATGAGTAGACATATCACCTCATAGTAAGTAGGCTGTCCCATGGACACCCACAACACTATAAGTGGATAATAGCATCATCATCAATCATCAACAGCCTATAAATGCCCACTGCTGAGCAAAGCCTCTTCTCACACGGAGAAGGTTTGAGCATTAATCACCACGCTTGCTCAATGCGGGTTGGCGATTACAAAGTTATAATTAGAAATTATAAGCCCAGGTTTCCTTACGATGTTTTCCTTCACCGTTTGTCAGTGGTGTCTAAATAATCTTAGAAAGCAGATATAACTCGGAAAAAAAACATTGATAATTGCCGTTGGTAGGTTTCGAACCCGCACCCTCATGCATGAGAAGCGAGCGTCTTAAACCTACGGGCCACCACGACACCACGGATAATAGCACTAAACAATAATTAATTGTATAAATTTTCTTAAGCACGGCCTAATGAAATTATTTCATCAACTACTATGTATATTGAAAGTGCAAAAGAGCCATGCTTCTGGAATAATAGGCCAGCTCGACCGGAGTGATACCACGGCCTCACAGCAAACAGACTTGAAGCAACGCTTGGGTTGTGATTGTTGTGTGACGAGTAAGGTTACCGGTGGTTTAACTACCCCCCTTTCCCATACATACATACATAACTTCACGCCTGTCTCCCATGATGGTAGGTAGAAACGCTAATTGCTACGATTCTTACATACCTTTTTCGCTTCATCATTAATTCCCCTTCCCCATTTTCACCAATTCCTGAATCTCCGACATTCCTCAAATTCCTGATTCCCAAAAGGCTGGTAACGCATTTGTGACGCCTCTGGTATTCCAGTCGTCCATGGGCGAAACCGACTGCTTACCATCAGGTGATATATCAGCTCGTTTGCCAGCTTATCCTATAAAAAATAGTTGATTTGATATATAAAGACATCATTAACAAAAGTCACGCATCATCATTATTTATCAAAAATATTAATGCATCTCCTGCTGAGAGCTGGCGTCCCATTGCTTTGCCAATTTTCTTAGTCATATTCCAATCGTAAGAACAATCCCTTTTATATTCATAAATGACTTGCTGAATTCCGAACATGCTTCACTTATACCTCTAGATTACAATTAGAGTGTTTGTTAAATATATAAGTATTATTGATAGATTGTACAGTCGGTCAATCCAATAAGTATACAAGGCATACATCGACACAACCGCCATTAAAATTTACAGCGTTATACAATAAATAAATAATATCTTTATTCAGACATGTAAATGGAAATAAATTCTAAAATTTTCGGGTCGGGCAAAGTACCTATTACTGGTTTATTAAAGAATCAGTAGTAGGAGTCTAGAATCTGGCCCGGTAGCAATAGGCTCACCACCCTATAAAATGGAACTTAGAACATAAATAGTGAAAAGTAGGTGTTACATTGTAAAGTGGCATTAAGTGCCGTAATAGGCAGAGGCCTACTCCTTCGGGGATAAAAGGCGTGCTGTTATTATTTGTTTTATTTTTAGTCATGATCCTCCCACTGCAGGGCATCTTCTTCATTTGGAAAAACTAAAATGTAGCTTCAATAAAAACAATCACAAGCATAGCATAATCTGAATATATCATAAATGCATTCGAAAAATCCAATTAATATTGTGGATTGCAAAAAAATTGAGTGCAACTTAATAAACTACAATTTTCCGAAACGATCGATTTAATCTGATTACAGGGAGACCATCCAGCAATGTCACAATTGGCAAATATCTTTTGTCCACAGTAATTCAATTAAAATGATAGGTAGAGGACACTAGCATAACAAGCTACACTCAAAATTAGTTCAGCCGATTTTGAAGGTTATTGGAAAACAATAGAGCTGAAATTCAATTAAACAAATTAAAGAAAATGGAGTACCTTGATGTGAGTGAGTCGAAAAATTTAAAAATGGAATGTATGACGGATTATTTAGTTTTTATTTTTTGTAGTGAATTTTTTACATCATTGTTATCAATTTTATTCTTTGTGCCTTGAAATACGATTTTACACGAATCGCTTGATTTTAATTTGGAGTTTCGGGTTCAGAGTACTGGTTGATTATTGTACCTGTATTTCGTATAAAAATGTAATTGGAAAATGTTTTCCTTTATTGAATAGTATTATTTTGTTATTTTCCTAGAACTTTACAATAACCTTTTTTTTTCTTGATTTTGTTAGTTGATTTATTTAACGTAAGAGTAAATCAATAGATTATCGTTCATATTATTAGGTCTTAATAGAAATGTTAATATACATGTATGCGTATCTACGTCAGATGTCCATGACTAACCAGACGAACAGAACAAATAAGGAAACATTTCAACTATTTACTAGTTCTAGTCCCAATTTTGTGTCTGAAAATATTTCCTTTTGCATATTTATTTACGTAATAGAACTTCCCCAAATAAGGAAAATCTGCAGAATTATCCTTGAGCAATGAAATAGGACAAATATATCCTAATAATCTGTTACCTATATAAGGTAAGACTTGGTTTAATTTTCTCATAAGAGAAGGTCATTTATGAGGAGCTACTACATACGGTGCTCCTACATCATTGGCAGATGTGATTTTTTTTAATTTGAAAGAGTTATAATATCAGTAAGCAAAATGCGAATGTTAAGTTTTTATTTATTTTCGTTCATTTGTTTGAACGGAGTCACTCATATCAGTGGTGGTCTCGATGGTTGGTTGTTGGATTTGTTCGTAAAATGTAAGTATGGTAATAGTAGGTATAATACTTTTCTTTATGAGTTTTTCTACAATTCTTTTATGATTTTTCCTCAATTACTTATCTGTATGTTTTGTCAAATGTGTATCTTTGACTTATATTAATACATCTACATACAAGTCACCAGTGGCGTGCACACCATACATGCAAATAAGCACTGCATACCCTACAAAATCATGGTAAACCTACATAGTCAAATACATAGTGTCACTCATAAACACGACATGAATATTCACTAACATCTTATAGAGATTTCGTAATTTTATTGATACTTCATTTGAAAAACTGGTAACTAACGCCATCTATCGAAAAAATATTATAATACTACGACCACTTTCTACTTTCTTCGATATTGAAGCATTGCGCCAGTGGCGCCGCCACTTCGCTATTGTGTGATGGTGGCGGAAGCATGTACTAATGCGTAGCCGGTACAATTTGCTTGTTTTCTCGTGCTGATGTTGGATTTTTTTTTTGTTAGGTTGGTAATTTCTATACAACTGCAAAAGCACTGCTTCTTCGTTATCCGACTAATTTAAGAAGTCAACAAAACGTAGCGTTTGTTGATTGAAAATAGATATATTAATTTTGGTCAACTTATTGTTTACGTTTTTTTTGGCCATTTTGTTTTGGTTATGTTTTTATGTGCAAGTGAATAAATTGTAATGTAATGAATTATAATTTAAATGAACTGTTAATTTACCGAAAATTATGTAAAATTATAGCTGTGAGCTCTGTGCTGGTGATTTGTGTTGTTCAATAAATTCAATATGAGTGCGTTGTCCTTATTGTCGTTCGAAGAAGAAACGAAAATATTTCCAAAGGCGATTTTGCGTGTGTCGTATGTCCGGGCTAGGCGTAACTCAAAAAAGGTAATAATTTTATTATTTCTTTTAATAAACTACGATTTGAGATTATAGGTATAGTTTGTTAGCACTGGTTGTGTACCAATTTCATTATTGTTTTTATAATCCAGTCATCTTGATCTCGCTTTGTACGATTTTTCTATGCATTTAACGGTCAGTTTATACTGGTTTTGCATAGCTTGATGTGTAACCATTTGTACTTCGCCGCTCCAAAGTAGGTACCTAGTTAATAGATTTGTAAAATAGATACCTACCTAGGTATCTATGTTGATCAACTTTATACACGGATAGTTTGAAAATAATTATGTACATAATTTGTTTATACAAATTAATAAAAATACTTACTAAACCTAATTACCTACTCAAAATTATGATGTTTCGGGAGTTTTATTTTCCGAGATTAATGTAGACGAAATTTTTTTTAATCATGTGATACCTTCTGCCTACCCTACTTCAAATCTCTGTGCACGCCTCTGCAAGTCACATATTTATATTTCTACTTCTTATTCCGTAACATAACCTATCATTGACAACTTTTAATATTAATCCAATTATTTCTTATCTCCACCAGGCCCAGTTAACAGAAACCAATCTCTGGACGTCAGTCAAATCAAGGTCTACTTTTACGACTTCCATAGAGGTCGAAGTAAAGTGTTTCCTATAGACAATGCTGCTAAAAAGATTCTGTCTTTTCATAAACTTGACAAAAACAAAATGTTTTACATGTTCGTCAGTGGATTTGCAACGTACATCAACCGTACTACTGCACACTTAGTAAGGGAAACCTTTAAACATGTCCCCAACAGTTACCTAATTATCATCGACCATTCAGCTTACACCAACAATACTGATTATGGCCCAAAAACGAGTTACGAAAGATCCGTTCAACACGTCTATTCTATTGGAGTCAAATTGGCTCAAATGTTGGTCCAACTCAACCAAGGAGGAATTAGAGCTTCACACATCCACGCAATTGGCCATAGCTTGGGTAGCCAAATGTTGGGCCATGTTGGTGCGAATTTCAACAAAGCTACTGGTTTTAAAATTGGTAGGATAACAGCGTTGGACCCAGCTGGTCCTTGTTTCAAAAACAGTTTGAAGGAGGAACAGATCAGGGCTGGTGTGGCGGACTATGTTGAAGTATATCATTGTGACGATGGTGGATTGGGTACGTCCAGTGTGCTGGGTGACACAGACTTATATATGAATAAAGGTAGTGACCAGCCAAAATGTAATTTTCCTAGTGTAAATAAATGCAGTCATAAGGTTTGTGTGGCAATGTGGATGGCATCAGTTACCCATCGGTTCACGGCTAGACAATGTAACAATTATAAACTGTTTAAACAAAGAAAATGCACAAGTAACAAAACAACCACTGCGGGCTTCTGGAATCCTGGTACTGCGAAAGGAATTTATTATTTCTCGACTGAAGATTACAAATATTAAATCAAAAATTACATTTAAAATTTGTTAAGTTTAAAATATAATATTGTTATGGTTTTTAGATATAAGCTTTGTTGTTGTTGTTGTAAATAAATAAATGAATGATAAGAAATAAATAATTTAATATAATAATTAGTTTGATTTCCGTCATTTGTGTCTTCGCTCACGCCTTAAACAGCAAAAATTTTAATAATAGATGTTATATTTAATTTAGATTTGTTTCTATAGATATTAAATCTAATGTAGTAAACTCGACAGGTACTCTCTATGTTAGCAAAGAATCTTAAACATTTTGACAGATTTTTTACAGCATTCAGCTTCTATTACGACGTCAAACTAAGCGTTAAAGAAACAAATTACCAACGTCTTTATTATTGGACCCTCAAAAAATATGATACCGTCGTCCCTAACAAAACGTTTACATTTTTAACAGGCGGACTAAAGCGAGTCACTTCTAAGGCTCGACCCCTAAGCGTTGAGGTGAAAGTAATCGTCGAATCAAAGCAGAATTTGTCAAAAACATCGCTCCGGTGCACTTCCGTCAATTCTCTCCAATTAATAACTTGAAACCATCTCTTTCACACTTGTGTCATTTTATATATTTCCGTCTCTGTCTTCTACCCTTGTTTGAGAAGCCCCGTCGAGATAGTATATTGCCACTTTGTCGCCAGCTCCCGCGGGCTGTATATACAAAGGAGAAATTGCAATATTTTCTACTGCTCTCGAAGCAAAATATTGGATATTTTAAACTTTTATAAGGTTTGAAACTGGCTTTGTGAGGCCCAAATAATTAAAGTTGTTTAAACTGTCAAATACCAAGCGGTCACCGGTGACCGCAACCTATTGTTCTATAATTGTGTCTGCAAAACCGGTACTCGACGAGTTAAAGCAAACGTTTGTGTTATAAGGATACTTTTTCGTAGTCACAGAGAATTTTAATGAATGTTAGTGAAGGATTTATTGCTCTTTCATTGTAGTTGGAGTTCATCAAGGGATTTCGTTGTAATTTATCGATTAACAACCGAATTACGGTGGATTAAATACCGTAAATTACTTACGTGACTGTTAAACGTAGTTAAAGTCCTTATAATAAGATAGTTTGCTAGCCCAAAAATAATTTATTGTTCGTTCATTCATTGATTTGACAAAATATTAAATTTTTCAATTTTTCTAGTTAATTTTTAAGAAATAAGTGTGCTATTTGACGCAAACATTTGATTACGCTATAAGTTCGTTTTTCATACAAAATTCAAAGAAAAGTAATTTGACTAGTTTTCAACTACCGTATTGTTATTTTGGTCTTCCTTTTTATAGATGGTGTGCCCTTTTAGGGAGTCTTACCTACCTATATCTTCGTCTTGCTACATAAGAAAGTTTGTTATAGTCTGCACGTTTAGCCGGAGCTTAATGATCGCGGTCGAAGTTGCCTTTGGAGTGAGTATTAATGCCCGGTCTCTGTTAAATGTGCAGACCCTTCACCAGATCCTACAATTCCAGCGGGTGGAGTTGGAGTAGAAATAATATACTATATTCTACTCCTTCGGCACTCACTACCAGTTCAATTCATGGTTCATAAATAACAAAAGTATCTACCAACTACGCACCGCTAATCTCTTCCACCACATCGATTATTTGAGACCTACTTATGTCACAGGCTGTATCATTACGTTGTCAATGGCAGGCGACATGAACAGAAGATAAATTACGTGTCAGTCAAAATTTGAACACGGCCAACGATCCACGGTTGAGCTGACAGAAAGTGGCATTCTTTCCTCATTTTCAAGGATCCATATGAATGTGTAATATGGAGATAGGACGTCGTCTGTGAAAAGAGACAACTTTCCTTATGAGACAAAATCCTTTTATTATGTCCCTACCTACTCTTACAATGAAAATTGAAACTTAAGGTACTTGTTCTACATGCCAATTTCAAACACGAAAACATGCCTCAATTGAGCACTTAGTAGCATGTATCTCGGAATGTTGCTCAAATTACCCCGTTCATTTCAGGCATGTTTGCAAATCGACAGGTGTTCGATTTTTTAATATTTTGAAGGATACTCAATAGAACGCCTTTTAACATGCTATTTTAGAGCATATGTAACAATGCCTTTAGTCTGATCAGAAAATGGAACCCAACATATTAAGTTGACGATCTCTGGCCACCGTAAGCGCGGGCCTGCGGACGGCAAGCATGGGTGGCTCGCCGCCCGACCAGAACCAGACCCGAGCGTACGGCGCATCGCGTTACGCGCGCGCCTTAAAGAGCCATCAGACCACCACGAAGGGGGCCAATAGAGCTGATGCCGATACGGAGTCGCGGAGAACTTAACGGGTTACCGGGGCTCCGGCTCGAAGTGCAGGAGTAGGAACGAGGTGGTTTTTAGTCAGTAAGAGTCTGACTCTGCAGGAGTCATTCGATGATTTTCCACCGTCAAAAAAAAACATCTTAGGTTAAGCTTTGATGGGCATTGTTGTGTACCACGTTATACGACATACTACATAACGTCACGCTTTTTAGCCCCGAAGGGGTAGGCAGAGGTACACATCACGGCACTTAATGCCACTGTACAATGTAACACTTACTTTTTACTATTTATGAGTATTTACGAGTCCCATAATAGGAGTTGAGCCTATTGCCACATACCGGACACAATTCCAGACTCCGTGCGACCACTGACAATTTTTTTAAAAATCCTGTAATACTTTGCCCGATCTGGGCATCGAACCCGAGATCCCGGCAGCCCCACTTACGACCACGATAATAATATAACACTTTGTGCCAGATGTTTCTTTCAGAACTTAAAATATGAATGCTAACCATGACTAGAATCTATATTCTATATATACATATATAAAATTCAAAGGTGATTGACTGACTGACTGATTGACTGACTGACATAGTGATCTATCAACGCACAGCCCAAACCGCTGGACAGATTGGGCTAAAATTTGGCATACAGATAGATGTTATGACGTAGGCATTCGCTAAGAAAGGATTTTGATAATTTCCACCCCCAAGGGGGTAAAAAAGGGGATGAAAGTTTGTATGAAACTTTGTCAGTTTTTAACTGATCGGGTTGAAATTTGGCATGCAGATAGATGTTATGACGTAAGCATCCGCTGTGAAAGGATTTTGATAATTTCCACCCCCAAGGGGGTAAAAAAGGGGATGAAAGTTTGTATGAGACTTTGTCAGTTTTAAACCGATCGGGTTGTAATTTGGCATGCAGATAGATGTTACGACGTAGGCGTCCGCTGTGAAAGGATTTTGATAATTTCCACCCCCAAGTGGGTAAAATAGGGGATGAAAGTTTATATGAGCCTTTGTCAGTTTTAAACCGATCAGGTTGAAATTTGGCATGCAGATAGATGTTATGACGTAAGCATCCGCTTTGAAAGGATTTTGATAATTTCCACCAAGGGGGTAAAATAGGGGATGAACGTTTGTGTGAGGCTTTGTCAGTTTTACACCGATCGGGTTGAAATTCGGCGTGCAGATGGATATTATGACGTAAACGTCCCTTTAGAAAGGTTTTTGAACATTCTCACCCCAAAGTATGATACTTTGCCAGTTTTAAATTGATCGGGCTGAGACTTTGCATGCATAAAGTTACTATGACATAGGTATCTCTTTAGAAAGGATTTTGATAAATTCCACCCCTAAGGGGATAAAATAGGGAATGAGAGTTTGTATAAATCTTCTTAGCCGTTGAATTTAGAATCATTGAATCTTTTTGAATTACATTCGGTAAAACGATGATTTGGGACCTGGGTAACGTATGATAGTTTTTTCACAGATGTCTCACGAGAACGGGAACTATGCGTCAATGCCCCAGGACTCTCTAACTCTTAACCACTGAACTTATTCTAGAGAGATTCGGTACAACAATAGTCGATAGAATAGTTTTTATTACTCAAACCTTACGTGATCGGGCACTGTACTGGTAAGATCCCTGCGGGATTATTTATTTATTGAAACTACGATAAATCATTTCAAAATAGGTAAATCTTACTTGGGCACTGAATTGATTCTGGTTAATTCTGTCAGAAGTCATTAATCTACGCGGACGAAGTCGCGGGCAACAGCTATCTACACATATAATAAATCGTAGAAAAGTCAAAACTGTACATTGAATATTTTTTAAAAGAATATTTGAAGCGTGATCTCTAATCGATACCGAAGCCAATAATGTGGTTTTTAGAATTTTTGTCTGTTTGTCTGTATGTATGGCCGTGATGATCTCAAAAAGTACTGCACTACTATTTCAAATTTTGCATGAATATTACTAACAAGTCTGGTAAACATATAGGCTACATATTATCACGCTATCATCTACGGGACTGAATCAATTCTGACGACATCCATTACCGTAGAATATCCCTTGATACAAACTAATTCAAAAGCCTAAATTCTGCCAGAAGTCATTATTCTACGCGAACGAAGTCGCGGGCAACAGCTAGTTGTATAAATAAAGGTCTAGACTGATTGTGTTCTAACAATACAATTTTTCTTTTAAACGTATTTAAACCTTTTTTCTCTTTAAGACGATGTTTTTATAATACCTTGTATTTTTCCATTGGGACCCGTTCACCTGCTCCAAGCTACAAATAGCCGTAGGCGTTGTTATTGTCTTTATCTTTGACCTCCAAAGGTCAAACACAAAGACTATGTAAACTTATACAAACAAGTTTACATAATTTAATCATGTTAATGTTTTTTAATACTTTTATAATTGACATTTGTTATTTGTCCACCTACACAAGAGTATATTTATTTATCTATGTTGGTTATTTAATTTAAAAAGTAGGGATAATAGGGTAGTTTCCTAAATTTTATTTTTATTGTCCGTCTGGTGTATTAATTTAAAACTATAGACACGTATTTTTTCTTTTCTTACAAAATGAAATGCTTTCGACGATATATTGATTTGAAATGTCGTGTGACGTCACAGCGTGCTACAAAATGTAGCACGTTGTGACGTAACTACCTCCCACTCCTAAACTTAAGTAAAAAATCCATTTTATTTAAGTATTTTAACTTTATACGAGAAAATAAAAAAAAAACGCGTGCAATATTATTTAATTATCTGACGGACTAATTAGATTTTTAATTTTGTTACCCTGGAAACTATCCTATTTAGTTATTACTTTTGTGTTATATGACCTTGGCTTGTTTTAGAAGGACGAAAATGATCTTCTTCGGATTTTCGAAAATTCTCTTTTCACAACCAATTTAGGATTGTGACACGTGAAAAGTATGTGTGATATTGAATATATAAAATTGTTCAAATGTACATCTTTGCCTACGCCTTCGGGAATCAATTCGACTACATGATCGGCGTGGTAGCTGGGCAACTGGCTGCCGCGCAACATATTTATTCCCGCACAGAACAACTCTTTGTATGATCCACTGATTGTTCTGGGTCTGGGTGTCATGTGTATGTGAACTTGTATGTTTGTAAACGCACCCACGACACAGAAGAAAATCCTAGTGTGGGGCAAGGTTTTGAAAAATAAAAATGGTTATGGTTTCGATATTACTTGTTGATGTGTCATTTCTGTAGGTTTTTTATAACTGCACAAATATTTAATTTGTGACAGATGACAAGAGACGGATCACCTGATGGTAAGCAATCGGCGTCGCCCATGGACACCTGGAACACCAGAGGTGTTGCAAGTGCGTTACCGGCCTTTTGGAATTAGCAATTTGAGGATTGTTGGGGATTCAGGGATTGGGGAAGGGTGGGGGAGGAGGTTATTGGGCCTTCGGTAACCTAACTCACACGACGAAACACACGCAAGCATTGTTTCACGTCTGTTTTCTGTGAGGCCGTTGTATCACTCAGGGTCGAGCCGGCCCATTCGTGCCGAAGCATGGAGCCATGCGAGAGCTCTCACACTTGATTGTAATGAAACACACACCAATATTATAAAATAACATTTTTATTTCGTTCATCGTAATTATCATTGAAGCCAGATCGATTACATATTATTACATACATCCACTTATTGTTAAATAAACAATTACGTCACTTATAACTAACATTTAAACACATTGTAACATTAACATACGAAATCACATCCGTCTGGCACTCTAGTCATATTTTATGACTTCAATTCACATACAAATTTTATTCCACACATCAATTTATAAATTTATAATTTCTTACATTTATCTATCAGTGGTAATTAAAAAAATATTCTTTTTAGCAATTTATTAATGAAGAAAAGAGAAACAGGAGAAAAGAAGTCAGTGTTTAAGAGAACATAGATAAGTTAGTACTTACTTATTAGGTAAAGGACACAATCTAACATATTTTTTTAATATTTGAGTATTCCATTTTTAAATAGTAATCTAGCGACATCTATTACATTCGAAATGATATTTCGTTTAAATCTAGAATTTATGATACAGCATGTTCTTAAAAATATTCTATGACACTTCTATTTATTTATCAGTGGACAACATGGAACATTTATTGAAAAAAAAATACACAGAATGATTAAAAAATAAATACATTTACTAGATAATTATGTCACAACAACGATATTACGATAGCAGAAATGTTAAAAATTACAAGCTAACTCGAAAAGCGCAACCCAATTGTTTTTCCCATTCGACACGTCTAATGCATTATAATGCCTAAGAGTTTTTCACCCTGTATTATCCATAACGCGTTTTCCATACAGTTTACGTAATATAGATAGCATGTACATTCATTACTTACATAATTTCAAAACAAAAGTTACAGGGTACTCTCCTCGGTCCATGATTTTTCCTCCTTCGCTTGCCTTTCTCAAACAAAAATCTGCTTTATATTTAAGCTAAGTAAAGTGGATATTCTGGTAACAACGGCATAACGTAAACTGCGTATAAATAACTTTAATGATAAAAAATTTAATGAGCTGTTAAAACTAAACAAATAAATTGAACTATGTGATTATTATACGACAAAGATTAACAGAATAGAGAAACTTAAATAACACGGCAACACTTAGTTCTTCAATAGCAAGTGACAGAAAGGTCGAGCAATATTAGATGAGTGAAGATACTTCTAGAAAAGAATTCAGCTTATCAAATACATTTACTCCAACAAAAGTTCCACTTTTTAGTACAAAAAATATGATTATAATTATTACCGAATAATATTTACAATATATTTCGCTATCATTGATCAGTTTCCATTTTATCTATAACATACATTCGATTACAGTATAACATCTATTTATAATTGTGGTATAATAGACAAATATTTAATTTTCTGTTTCATGCTTGTCGCACGGAATTTTGGCTTCAAAGAATTTATTTATAAAAAATCAAACAACCTGTACATTAGCAACATCTAATAAAATAAATTACACACATAAAAAATCGTAGACATTACAATATTGCACATTAAAGGAACAAAGTCTATATGATAAAATAATCAATTCTAAACCGTCAAGTTAAACAGATAAAGTTTAAATTCCCTGAAGCCCATCGTCAACAAAGTCATGAACTAACTACTGTTTTGGTGTTTGATCCTTTTTGCTGGCCTGGACGGACTAGAAGTCCTCAGGAACTCTTAAAACTAAATTAATTTTACTTATTTCTAATGCCTCACTGGCTTACTTAAATACTGATTTAATTACTTTGGTATAAGGTTTAAAATTAATTATGTAAAATGTAGATGAGATCTTTAGTGACTGTAGAATTACCTAAATTGAATTAGTCCGGAATTAGGAATTCTTTGGAAGTCTCTTTGATTTGATTTAACTCTTTGGATTTAGTTGTACAACTTACCTAATCCTAAATGAATTAGTTAGGTTCTAGTTTGAAAGGTAACAAAATAACGATCTTTTATTTAAATTAAAGAAAAGAGGTATTTTGTTTCGTCTTCAATTTGTGTGAACAAAGAAAATGAAACAGGGATTCTTATATTCATACTTAGATTTATTAAAGACTTCAAGTTGATTGCACAATGACCCTAAATTACACACGAAATAAATACAAAAGAATCATCGACGCTATAAGTTGTTAGGTATTATTTGTTGTTACATTATAATGAACTGTAATATCATAAACTATACTATACTAAAACCAACAGCATAACAATGTGGGCAATTATTATTAAACAACTTTATTTCAATGTCTACATATTAAAAAAAAAACACAGTTCTCGTGCAATCAACTTTAGCAATTCTTAGGGCCACGTTATTAATATTTCTTATAATAACAATAGTTTAATTTTTTATAATCGAAAATATTGATCTAATTATTCAATGGCAGCTCACTTACAATATTTAAAATACTCGTTTTGACAGCTGTCAAACTTGACAGGTGTCAAAATAAGTACCCTAGTCTGCCATTGGTTAATCGAACGAATTCACCATTTAAAAAGCATTAGCTTTCTCTAATCAAAAATTAAATTCCTTTTGCATCGAATCCGTATGTACAGACTTAGAGTTAATTAGATTCTACGATGTATTTTCGAACTTCTGGTCTAGTAAATTGGGTTTCTATTTGATGTTACCGGTGCCGATGTGATTTTCAAATGCACGGTGCCTTTCGTGGTTATTTTAAGGCAATTTTATATTCTTGGTACCATAGATAATTCTATTGTTCGCAAGTGATTCATCAATCATATTTTCGATATATACCGATAAGATGTACAAGATGAATTTAAATTATTGCATCTAAATATTTTTTACGTAAGTATGGTATTCCTAGATAAGATAAATAGACGATTATTAAAAAGTATTTAAAATTAATTAGTCCATCGTTTTAATTATTTCTTAGTCTTTACCACGAAATCAGTAAGAACTCTTAAAATCTAGAATTTAATCAAAAATTCTTTCCCTTAACCAAATTGGGTAATAAGAGAAAACTGTACATTTTTATTTTCTTAATGTTTGTGCTAAATTATTGTTATTGTTATAAAATACATCAATGCTTATTAATCATTTTGGTATTCCATTCAAATTTATTTTTTAATTATTATAATAATTACTTTCACCTAGCGTCTCAGAGTCGTTACTAAGAAATTATGATTTAATTATTAAATATATCACTTTTTTACTTTATTTGAAAATATACATTTCACATCAATTCCTAACGTTAGCATGTTAATTTACAATGTCTATTCTATATTGTATAATTTAATGAAAATAAAATATTTCAAATTAAAATATTATTATTTTTTTATCGGGAATTAGGTACAATGTCATTTTTAAGCCAGAATTTACATTTTCATTTTTAAAAATAAAAGCGATTGTATTTTTTATTTTATTAAAATTTTGATTGTTTCGCAGGCACATTGGTATTGAAGAGAACGGAAAATACAGTGCCAAGAGTTTAGAGGAATTGACAAGTATGAGTTAAGACTAGATTGAAAACTTTGGTAGAAATGGTAATTTGCCTAGAATTCTAGATATAAGTGCTAAGAGCTTGCCTGAAGTCGTGAAGAGCTGCTAGGAGCTGAGGAGCTGTTGGTCTGGCTAGAGGAGCTAAGGTCCAACACCAAGACATTAAGCCGTACCTGGTGATTAGAGAGAACAGTTAATAAATACGTCAATTAAAGCATTTTTGTCATGTAAGTATCGTAAGACATAATTAATATAACATCACGCCTTCAATCTCCGAAAAAGAAGGCAGAGGTGCACAATACGGCACTTAGTGCCACTGTATAATGTAACACCAACTTTTCACTATTTGTGTTATGAGTCCCATGTCGTAACTTTATTGCCATATTACTATACCGGGCATAATTTCAAACTCCGTACTAATACTGACAATTTTTTAAAAACAGCCGTACTTTTCCGACCCGGGAACCAATCCCGAGACCCCTTGCCCTGCAGTCGTACTTGCGACCACTCGGCCGACGAAGTAGATATTAAAATGATTATTTACTTTATAAGTCACGTCAGTTGTCGCGCATACTTTTTTTTATTAAGGGTGACGTGGCTTGAGACTAGTTAAATCAATGTGTCCAATATTATACGATTATATATTATATATTATACGGTTAGTCCAATCAAATAATTAGAATAAATCCACATTTTTTGCCAGTTATGTTATAAGTCGTATGTAATAAAGTACAAAATTGAAATCTAAAGAACATTTGAAAAACTGTCGTGTACGGGAGTTGATTTAAAAAAGAAATACATATATATACTAAGTAAGTAAAATATTTCAAAACAAACAGAGAATCTTCGTAAAATGAAAAGGAATGTGGATACAAAAAAAGTCACTGGCAATGAAAAGTCTTTTAGTAAATTGCATTTTCGCTTACGGACTTTCGAAGTCGACACTTTCGAGACGCCTTTTAAACCGGATTGAAATTTCAAATCGGTTGCAACATTTATACTGGTGTGACTTACTCAGGGATTGCTAAATAAACAAATAAACGAATAAATCATTTTCTTAAGTCAGAATACACTTTTTTCACTTTGTCCTCGCAGTGATGACACCCGGGCATCATTCAGTCAAAGTCAAAGCATTTATTTCAACTAAACCATAATTTGGTACTTAAATAAATAGTAGTCGGTCAGTCAACATCAGATCGACATCGTCAGATCGATATGACCCTCTGTCACAGAGGGTCGCCCGAGGTCGAGAAGCGCCCCATCGATGGCGGGCCGCCGCATCGATATCTAAAAATCTCACGGAGACTGGAAATTTGCCTGGTATATGTGAAACAAGTGAATTTATTTCTGCAAATAGGCTACAAGGCAGCACTTTTACACGTCAATTTTATCAAGCGAACGATGAGGTCGACATTTACTAATTGACTCTGAGAAGAAATGCCGAAACAAACTCAGAGGTCTGTCTCTTTTTTTTTTGACAATGGGCTCACCCACTATTACATGGGACTCATAACATAAAATAGTGAAAAGTGGGCGTTACATTGTACAAAGGCATTAAGTGAAGTTATATTATGTAACTGTAGAAAATAATTGAATAAAATACGTACAGTTCATCAGGACAGTTATGCGGCTGTGAAGGTCTGTATCCTCCACTCAAGAACGCTCCTACGTCAGCTGCATCAAGCTCAGCCAATGGCGACGCGCCAAGAGTTGCCAGCTCCCATAAAGTTATTCCTAGTGACCACTGTACAGGGAAAAAATATTTTACAAGTTAGTAAATCATTACAAATTTGTATAAAAAAATAGAGATGATTGAAAACTAAACACAGATTTGAATTCACAATTGCACTTTATTGACTTTACAATTTTAGATAATAAAAACCAATAAACATATTCTTTTGACGCTCAACCGCTCTCATAAATTCGCGCCATTTTTTTTTTCAAATTTTTTAATCGTCTAATTCATTAGACCAAACGTTACAAATATCGCAATTTATTTATCGACTTCAAAAAGAAAATGCTAACCTCCTTTTTTTGAATTCGGTTAAAAAAGAGGTTCTCAGTTTGACCTGTATTATTGTATATATGTTTGTATGTTTATGCGTGATCATCGCACGTCCGACTGAACCAATTTTGTTGCGGTCTCCAAAAAAGGTTTTATTACTTAAATTAGTAAATCAACTTTAAACAAAGACGGACTTGAAGTCGGATTTTTAAACGTAGTTTATGACAGGAATTATTAATTATCTAATTTATTGGTCCAAAAGAAACAATTATCGAAATTCTTACCACATCAGAAGCTGTAGTGTACTGATTTTGTAGCAGTGTCTCAGGAGCCATCCATTTGACGGGGCGGTTCTCATTGTCCCCCAAACAATGGTAGTCATCAGGAAACAGATCCCTTGATAGACCATTGTCTGTCACCTTCAGCCTTAATTTCTCGTCCACCCTTTACAAAAATATATTTTGTTAAAATTTTTCATTTTGGGGTCATCAATTAATGGAAACAGTAAAGACTTTGCTTGTCCTAGGAAAAGTGGTTTTGATAAATAGTTAAGTTAAGGGTGTTTCGACATTGTTCTTTCAAAAAGAAAAATATATCAAAATTCTAATCAAATCTCTATATTCGATATTATGAGCTGATTATATCGATTTATTCCGTATCGAGTTTCGATCGGATCAAGACTCATATACCCTTTAAAAAATCTAAAATGTATGTAGTTATTTTGCGTAATTTTTTGCATAGAATTTAGTAAAAAACAATGTACTAAGATATTTCAATTTAATAATAAAAACGACAGAACAATATTTTAACTTGCAAAGCAATTTTAGTAAGGTTTGTAATTAGTACCTAGGATGCGTCAAGCGTGTCTTTACATTGTTCTCACATATGCGTACAGTATTGGAATATGTAACAGAAACATTATAGAACATATTTATTTTAAAAATAGTAACGAATGGAGTTTCTGGCTTGTTCTTCTTCATTCGAATCTACATTTTGGAATGAGCACCCAGCTTCACCTATCTTCACTGACAGACTATAATTTATTTTGTATTTGTTGACGTTTCAAAAGTACCAAATTATACTTTAATTGAAATAAATGCTTTGACTTTTGAATTTTGCATACATTACTATTTAGGAAATATCAGCTTTTCTACAACACATTATAAACCAAGATATATATACTTTCTACTCAAAACAATGTAGGCTTTACTTACACACAATTCCTGGCGGCAATGTCAGCGTGTACTAATCGCTGAACGTGCAAGTACGCCAGGCCACAGGCCACTTGAGCTCCTAAGTCCACTAACTCTCTTGTAGCTGGGGCCGCCTGGTGGCCTAGCCGACACGATGTTAGGAACCTAAAGAAAAAAGATAGTTGAAACGTGCATTTCTTAACTTGATACTTATGTTTAATAATATAGGGTTTAAATTGAAATAAACTAGTTAGTAAAACACCACAGGATATAAAATTCTAGAGCAATACCTACTTAAGTTAATTTAATGACTTATTCAAAAACAAGTTTTGTCAGTGAATCTTCTTCATAGGAATCTACACTTTGGAATGAGCAAATAGCTTCACTTTTAATTTTTTTGTTGCCGTTCAAAAGTGCCTTTCTGGTCTAAATGAAATAAATGACTTTGAATTTAACTTCGACTTTGAATTCGAAGAAAAACTAAACTTAAAATATTATCTATGGAATACATGCAATAAACCAATAGGTTAACCTCGTCTTATATGCATTTTAATTATGTAAGTACTAGCTGTTACCCGCGACTTCGTTCGCGTAAAATGATTCATATTTCTTGTTAATTTGTACTTTTTTGACGCGACAACGTGTTGATCGGCGAGGCGTATTTGAGAGCTAGTATGAAACGGAACGTCTATTGTCTACTTAAGATGGCGACTGCGGTTTATCTGTCAGTGTCATTAAACTTAATTAATAAAACTAAATAATCTCCGTAATCCGAATTTTGCGGATAAAAGTTGTCGACTCGAAATCGATATTTATTTTATGTTTTGTTATTCAAGTAATGTTTCGACCGAGTCTACCGTATCCCTTGACGAAATTATTAATATAGATATCAACAATTGTCACCTTTTAAGATTAGAAGAATGTGAAGGACAGCAATAAACTAGAAGTGGCTTCCTCGCTTCCTCAGCACAGGCGGCCATTGGTGTTAGCACATTTGTATGAACTAGACTGTATAGACGTAAGCCTTCAGCCACTAGTAACGCTGCTTGCATTGCTGATGCCGCATCTAGGAAAAGGAATTATGTTAGTATACTGCATTTTTTAAAATAAATCGTGTATATTAAATTTGCAGTCAATCAAGTTATTTATTTGGTAATAGGTAAAAGAATTATAATTAATTCAGAACAGAAACTGAACAAAATCAGCTCTTGTAATTATATGTTTTTATTGTAGCCATTTTTTTTCTTAATCATATCGTTGTCTATTATTTTATTATTATTTTTCTTGTGTCGTGGGTGGCTGCGTTTACAAACATACAAGTTCACAAGCATACACATAACACCCAGACTCGGAACAACAATCTGTCGATCACACAAAGAGTTGCTCTGTGTGGGAATCTAACACGCGACACATTGTGCGGCAGTCCGTTATCCAGCCACCAGTGTAGATTTCAATATAATTTAGGTACATTAAATAAACTTACGTATGTAAAAATAACACATCTACGTGAATCTACGAATTTAAAAATGTTCATAATGATTTTATCCTACATAAAGTTGTAGGATAGCTGTTAAAATTTTCCGCCTAGCATACACAATCTCACGGCTTATCTGCCGAGATGAGATCAAAAGCAATCCTGTTAGCATAAAATGATATTCACATGAACCATTCTAATATAAAGCTTGCATCCAATTTCAGTTGCAATTTTTATCGGTTCGTGATTCTGTTAACGGTTGTGGTATATTCCGTGAAACAAGTGAAACAAGTGAAACAAGTGAAACAAGTGAAACAAGTGAAACAAGTGAAACATGTGAGACAAGTGAAACAAGTTAATTTATTTCTGCAAATAGGCTACAAGGCAACACTTTTACACGTCAATTTTATCAAGCGAACGATGAGGTCGACATTTCCTAACTGACTACTCTGAGAAGAAATGCCGAAACAAACTCAGAGGTCTGTCTCTTTTAAAGTACAGACAATATGTATAACAGATTATTAATTACTAATGATTAATAACCGTATATCATATAATCCTATAGGCAAAGATATTTTAGTGTTATCAAAGTTTGTTTCAATGAAATTGATTTAAAATACTGCATGTTTCAATTTCAAAAAGATCTAAACATAGATTCTACAATTCAGTTGGTTAAAACAAAAGAACTATGGATAGCTTTTGCGATTTAACTAAACATGACGAACACAATATCAAAAGAACGAAATTGGTTTAGAAAATATTAAAATTAATTAAGGAACAATTAAACGATCTCTTCATCTTATTTTAGAAATATACATCCAGCCATTATTTTGTTACAATGCCAAAAATAGCTGCTGATATCTGAGCTGAATTTATCCTTGGATAAATTGTTGATTAAACTAGAATTTAATTTTAAACAATTTGTGGAAAGTCAAGGTCAATATCAAAAGTGAACTGGGCACTGAAATACCCGTTGTTGCTAAGCAATCACTTCTGCCAATTTTAGTAAACAAGACTATTACAAATTAGCAACTCTATCAACTATGTCTCTAAGTCGTAAATAGCATATCAGAAACTAACCTGTAACAGTCTTGACAACGACTTCTTCATAAGTGTCTCCTCTCTTGAAAACTCCTTTGTAGACCCTGCCGAAGGTGCCTTCGTGGACGAGGATCTCTAACCGAATGTTGGAGCGAGGAGTCGTGAGGAGTCGGAGTTGTTCGGCAGGATCCGTGATACGGTCCTTGGTTATTGTTTGCTGTAACAAAGAGGTAATTTAGTATGGTAATTAATTACTATGACCCTAGATTTTACTTTATTTTTTCTTCTTTTTCAATTAGGCCAGAATGGCACTTTTGAACGTCAACAAAAAAAATTTGAAAGTGAAGCTATTTGCTCATTCCAAGGCGTAGATTCCTATGGAGAAGAATGAGCAAGAAACTCCATGGGTTACTCTTTTTCAATCAGGTTCACAATACAATTTACTAGTTACATAGTTTTGCTGTTTGGATTGTGCGAGAACAATGTAACACTAAAATCCAGTCAAAGTGATCAAAAAAGAAAATAACGTTTAAAAAGAAAATGTCTTAAGTTGTTACAATTTTGATCTGCAGCGGTAAATCTTACTTGCATGTGTTATTTGCTTTTGCGACAATCCAGACTATGCGCAATGGATATCAACATATGAGTTCAATATGTATATAGCATTACTAACTAAACGCTAAAATATGAAGTCTGTGTTTCATTGGGGATATAAATTCCAAATACACTGGCAGCCCTAATACTCATGTTTCCATGTAAAATCTTTCATTACGTTTTAAATTTTGAATTGACATATTAGACTAAGCATTCAATAGACTGCTACAAAATCAAAACAAGACACCAAAAAATACCAACTCTTTACAACCTATCACAAAATATTACACAGAACTATTACTGCTAGAAGTGACAACGTTGGAACGTCCTTAGTTAGGTGCAGGTGCGCACACATAATTGCATTGAGCAGGACGACGTCCAACGATATCCTTAATCGAGTTTGCGAGCGATGCAAGGTGTTGCAGTGTAGCGATTTTGTTGGAGTGCTTTGATAGTGCAGCAAAGTGGGTTGGTAAATAAATAATGCTATAATAAAAAGGACATCACTTGTTCTCGTGTTGTGGGATATATTGTTTGAAAGCTTTTGAAAGAGTTGGGTTTGTGAGTGAGTATAGCTTTGTTTTAAAATGTCAGGTTGTGCAACTTTATGGTCTTTTACACTTAGTAATCGGATCTCTTTGTAATTGATTTATTCGATCTTTTAGCTAATTGTTACATAACATAACATTACGCGTTTTATCCCCAAAGGGGTAGGCAGAGGTGCTTACTATTACTGTACAATATAAAACCCACTTTTCATTATTAATGTTATGAGTCCCATGGAATAGGGGTGGGCCTATTTCCACATACTGGACAAAATTTCAGACTCCATGCTACTACTGAGATTTTTTTAAAACCCAGTAATTGTTTGCCCGGTCTGGGAAGTAAACCCGAGACCCCTTGCTCAGCAAGTCGCACTTGCAACCACTCGGCCAACGAGGCAACTTATTGTTCTGGTTACTAAAACTATAATGATATTAAAGAGAAACAGACACATACTGTTTATAAACCTCCTTTGCTACTTTATACTACTTAGGAAACTTAGTTTTGGGATCGGATGGCATAATGGCACAATAATAGATAAAACATGATGTCATCTTGATTTCGAAAGAGTGACGCTGCGATAAATAAAAACACCATTAAATACAGTTTCATCTCTTTTATTTTCTTTTCACAAAAGTCCCAATTAGGAAATAAAAATAAACTCCGAAGTTCACAAAATCATCTTTCGAATATAATTTTAACGGCTTTGTATTGAAAAACCGTCTCGTTTAATAAGGAACTTCTTATTTACACCTCCGTTCATTAGCGTTCTCCTCAGTAAGGATACTAATTCATATTTCCTCCGAAAGACTTTCAACGGTGCGATAAATTTACGGACAAAGGGAGATTGCAAATTAAAAACTCGGTTCCTTGCCAAGATCAATAATTACACGACTATTATTGATGGAAGAGCCTTGAGCGAAGAATTGTGTATAAGTAGTTGGAGCGGTTACATTATTTTTTGTTGTATTTTTTTTAGTAATAGAATCATCATTCGGTAAAGACAAAGAGTTTGGATCAAGTCGTGGATCAGCCAAATTATTTTTTTTTTTTTTAGAAGAAATTATATAACTCGTATTTTTCATGGAAATAAGAATACTGAGAAATAGATATAATACAAAATTACCTTCTGTAACTTGAATGTTGAATTATTTATATCTTTCTTATTTATTTCGCTGAATAGGTAAACATGTTTATCAGGACACCTGTACCTACTTACAGTTTTTGACGTAGGTATTTTGAACAATGCATTCACAAACTCAGTAAATAAAGTTGGTACGCATATATGGTAATGTATTACCTATTTATCACATACCCGACCCGAAAAAGCCATATGCCCGACCCAGGTATTGAACCCGAGACCTCTTGCTCAGCATTCACAATAGCAACCATTTCACCATTTGCCCATCTAAGTAGAGCAATACAAAAGTAATAAATAAGAGTTATTGCAAGAACTGTTATTATGAAACGAGTTTTTTGCTGGTCTTGCGCCTACCGTGACCAATTATTACCTAAGTGAAAGTGCCCCCAAATCGAATGTAGTGCGGTATTTCGATGCAACATTCAGCAGCTCCGATAGCCGTGATCGTCTAGTGGTTAGGACCCTACGTTGTGGCCGTAGTAACCCAGGTTCGAATCCTGGTCACGGCAGTGGTAACACTGTCTCGGCGGAGCTTTTTGACATTTTTTTCGATATTTTTTTTTGTAAAATTATGGTATTTTAGTGAACAAATGACCACGAGCACCTTTCATAACATATGACGTATGATTTAAACAAAATAAATAATTATATTACGAAAATTAAAATTTCCGTTTGTTTTTAAATTTGTTAAAAATGGAACTTTCTTCTTTAAGATTAAGTTTCCTATACCCAAAAACAAAACTTCACAAAAATACAAAAATACAAAAAAAAAAACAAACCTGTCTATTTTATACTCAGTCCACGTAAACAAAAGTTGCCACATCTAGTTTAACTAAGTCTGTAGTCAATACTTGGCTTAGAAGAGCGCTAATTGCATTACGTTTGTATCACCTGCAGGGGAGGCGATGTAACTCGTCTTAAATTGAATTCTTAATGAGGTAAAGGGCACTGTTTATGCACAATATTATACTCCAGCCCCTAACATGTAGAAGAAGAAAAAGATGCGAGACATATGTATGTTTAGTATGTTTATTGGGCATTTTTTTATATTTAAGTGTGGGAGAGCCATGCTTCGGCCGGCTCAACCGGAGTGATACCACGGCCTCACAGAAAACCGACGTGAAGCAACGCTTGCGTTGTGTTTCGTCGTGTGAGTGAGGTTACCGGAGGCCCAATTACCTTCCCCTTCCCCAATCTCCCCAATCCCTGAATCCCCAATGATCCTCAAACTCCTAATCCCCAAAAAGCCGGTGACGCACTTGTAACGCCTCTGGTGTTCCAGGTGTCCATGGGCGACGCCGGTTGCTTACCATCAGGTGATCCGTGTGCTCGTTTAACGGCTTATGCCATAAAAAAGAATTTGATGGTCCGACGTTTGACTACGATCTCGCTTGATGGTAAGCAATGATGCGGTCTACGATGGAGTGTGTCGTCCCATGAGCAATCTATTATAACCCATAACCTAGGGTTGGAAGAAGGGGACTAGTTAATTTTGGTGGATTGCGTCTTCATTTATATTTGCTGCATTTATATAGTGAGATTAGTATCGCATAATAAGGACCTGAATTCTTCTTCATTTATCTTACATCTTATACTATCTTATACTATTATATAAAGCGGAACAGTTTGTTTTTTGTTCGTTTGTTTGAACGCAATTATCTCCGTAACTACAAGTCTGAATTGAATAATTCTTTTTGTGTTGAATAGTGCATTTATCGAGGATGGCTATAGGCTACAAAACATCATGCTACGAGTACGACCAATAGGACCTGAGCAGAGCGTGTGAAACCGCGTGGAAGTAGCTAGTAACATTATATTTTTTTACATCAGAATCTGTATTCAAGCCATTCCGTAATCAACATTCTTAGTTTACACATAATTTACTAAACTTATCCCTTATTACACAAAGCCTGAACAGCAAAAAGTTTGTGAAAAAAAATTAACATTGTGCTTTATATAATTTTGTCACAATTTTTTTTATGTGACAATCAGGTAAACGGGCGGACGGGTCGCCTGATGGTAAGCAATCGGCGTCGCTCATGGACACCTGGAACACCAAAGGCGTTACAAGTGCGCTACCGGCCTTTTGTTGAATAGGAATTTGAGGATTGTTGGAGATTTAGGGGAGTTGTTATGTATGTATGATATGTAAGAGTTAGATAGTTGGGGAGATTAAGGGAATTGAGGAGGAGTGTAATTGGGCCTCCGGTAACCTCACTCATACGCCGAAACCCTCTACTCTTTTTTTATGGGATAAGCCGGTAAAAGAGTACACGGATCACCTAATGGTAAGCAATCGGCGTCGTTCATGGACACCTGAAACACTATAGGCGTTACAAGTGTGTTACCGGCATTTTGGGAATTGAGAACTTGAGGATTGTGGGGGATTCGGGGATCGGAGAGACTGAGTCAATTGTGCTTCCGGTAACCTCACTCACACGACGAAACCCAACGCAAGCGTTGTTACACGTCGGTCTAGCGCATTCGTGTCGAAGCATGACTCTCCTACACTTTAATGATGGTATAGGTAACTATTCAAGAAATTTTCAAATAAATGTCTAAATTATACCTACCATTATACAACCATACAAACATAAATTACCAAATTCCTTTGATGTTTCGTCTTAAGAAAAAGACAAGGAAGGGTTTCTCTATAATTAATTCCACACTCTCTAATCTATACATAAACCGCATATCAATATTAACCTTGTAAATATAATGATACTTATTATTACAAGGAATAAAGGTGAATTTTGTAGAGCAAGTTTTCTGCGATGTGCGGTTGAATGTCCATAGTACACGCGACTACACATCGAATGAAACCAAATTTATCATGGTCTCGTCTTCAATGATCTTACCGTGCATTCGTGGTTCAGTTTATACTGGTTGTTTAGCTTGGTGTGTAGCTGTGCACGACGTATGGTGCCATTAAAGTGTTTGCGGACTGTTCAGCCAAAGATCAAGTGTAACCTCGTAATGTGGGTTAATTTATTTGTGAGAGTGGCTGAATTTAGTGGGGAAGAAGTTGAAGGTAAGGAATTAAATATGGGGACGTGTGGAGTGCTACGTGGTTTAATGTACCTTGGCAAGATGTAGGGTCTACCGTTAAATTACTATATCGCTTTGAAGTTGATATTTGGACATTATGATGTGGAGAATACCTATCTTGTTTTGCATAATTATGTTTTTTTTTTGTAATACCTAAATGTTTTTTTTTGCATGTTACGTGCGTTTTTATCTGTAAGTATCTTTTATTTACAAGATGGTGTAAGTGAAGTAAAAAAAATACTTTTGTTTTAAAACCAAAGTTTGATTTTTGTAGAGAACAATACGATAGTTGACAACTAAATTCAATACTTTTATCGAAACGTCAAAAACGATCATATTTTCTTATGACGTCATCATATTTTCGCGTCAAATAGTACACTTATATCTAGAAAATGATAGAATATATCGGCAAGTCAATGAATGAAAGTGTAACTATTTTTCAATATTTAATTGAACTAAAAAATCAAAATAATTTAGTTTTGACCCAGGAAACTACCCAATTCTGTCCGTTCGTGGTTCGTTCCATCTCAGTGTCCACCCGTATGATGACCCACTGGATGAGATTATAAATAGGATGTATATGTAAAAAGATGCAGTTGTAAACGTATCCATGACACAGGAGAATACCATAGAGTGATGGTACTGTTACGAGAGTCCTTTAGGATTTCTTTTTAAAAAAACTAATTTTATATTAGAACTATTTTAATTAGTTAAAGGACTGAGTATACAACCGTACCGTTCGGAGATCTTGTCCAGACTGAGGGGTCTGGCATGCCACCTTACACGCTAAGATATAATAATGATGACGATGTAGTTTTATGTCATCCCAGCATAAACCCTTACATATCAGGGATATAACAGTACGTTCTAAATAAAAATGAGAAGACGGTACGCCATTGAATTTTTTCTGCTTCGTCAGTAACAGTACTATTATTTAACTAAAAGCCTTGGACTTATCCTTAGTCCTCTTACCAAATCGCTTATGCCTTTACCCCAAGCTTAGGATACTCCACAAGACCGGCAGTAAACTAAAATTTACACCAACACAAAACAAATTTATTATCCGGTGAATTTACAGGAACATTAAACCGGCACCGATGCCAAATGTCTTTATAAGGCCACGTTTGTAATAATACGCGTAGCTGTTACGTAATTTGGAGTAATCTTTTTACCTACTTCATATTTTTCTGAAATAGCCATGACATGGTTAATTTTTATAACATAACATTACGCCTTTTATCCCCAAAGGGGTAGGTAGAGGTGCACATTATACCACTGTACAATGTAACACCCACTTTTCACTATTTATGTTATGAGTCCCATGTAATAGGGGGTGAGCCTATTGCACTATACCGGGCACAATTCCAAACTCCGTGCCACTACTGAGAATATTTAAAAACCCAGTAATACTTTGCCCGACCTGGGAATCGAACTCGACACCCCTTGCCCGGCAGTCACACTTACGACCACTCGGCAAACGAGGCAGTAAATTTTTATATTGTTTTAGTATACCTAAGATCAATCATTATTTACTTGATCTTAGACGCGTAAAGACTATGCATTTTTTCTTGGATGGAAGCTTAGAATTTATACGTTTCTAACAGATAGATACTCCCAATATAACATAATATCACGCCTTTTTATCCCCGAAGGGGTAGGCAGAGGTGGGCATTTCGGCACTTAATGCCTCTGTACAATGTAACACCCACTTTTCACTATTTATGTTATGAGTCCCATGTAATAGGGGGTGAGCCTATTGCCATATACCGAGAACATTTCCAGACTCCGTGCTACTACTGAGATTTTTAAAAACCCAGTAATGCTTTGCCCGACCGACGAGTGGGAATAAATATATAATTTATAAAGTAAAGAGTTACTCTTTGCAGATTGACATGAATTACTTACTACAAAACCTGATAATAATAAATAATAAATAAATCTTGTCACAGCCACAAACATCATGAAAACATCAAGAACATTCATTTTTATTATCCCACACTTAAAATTCTACACTACACTAGACAGAGAGTTGCTCCGTGCGGGGATCGAATCCATGGCACGTTGCGGTTTGCAAAATCACTGCACCAACGGGTCCGTCAAATTCATTGAAACCATACATGATTATATATTCACTTATTATTATAATTGAGTAAATAAAACAACAAAATAATTTTACTCACAACCAAATTTGCTATAATTTATACGAATTATAACTCCCACAAATCTAGAATGACCCATATAAAAGTGCATGAAAGGACTGCAAAATTTCAGCTATTTCGAAAACCACGTAATAATCTTCAAATAATAGCTGTCAGTAATTTTGGATGCCATTCAACCACAGTGGTGCCAAAATGTACCACATTATAGGCAAAATTAAGCTATTACATTAGTTACGTAGCACCCACCTAACGACTGAATGTCTATTTACACAGACCTGATTTAACATAATTACCTAATTACATCAATAAGCTAACATAATCAGTTAATTGTTAAATTGCACGCTTTAGTTGTGATACCAATTAGAATAATACATGTTACTTATTCAAGCGAACTGGTTTGAATAAAATATTGGACTGTTGTGATCTATTTGTTTATTTACTTGACAAATTGATACGAAGTTTTTTAAGCGTAAGCCTTTAAGCAAGCAATTTTTGTATACGTATATATGATATCAACGACCTCGGAAACGACTGAGCCAATTGGGGCTCCGGTAACCTCACTCACACGACGAAACACAACGCAAGCGTTGTTTCACGTCAGTTTTCTGTGACGCCATGTTATCACTCCAGTCGAGCAGGCCCATCCGTGCCGAAGCATGGCTCTCCCACACTTACTCCTTTGCTTACTTATACTCTTCGTTTCGTCTACTTACCTCTTTGAGAAGTATAAAACATCTTACTATAAGTAGGCTATAGTATATATGTACTTACTTGTGAGACATGTGTGAGATTAGATGCAGCATAATATGATACTCTTGACTCTGGCTTAGCGTACACATGTTCTCCTATGTGTGTAGTCGCATATGGAGACGGTGATCGACGACTGCCTGTGGACAAAGACAACCTTATTATATTCACTGTAAACTAGTAGGATTTCATTTAAATGTTCTGTGGGAACGCTGACGGAAAATATCGTAAAGAAACCTGGGTTTATCATTTCTTATTAATTTTATGTTTGAAATTGCCTACTTGCATTGAGCAATCGTGATAATTAATCTAGGACCATCTTCGTACGAGAAGATGCCTTTGGTGGCCACTTATAAACTGTTGATACGATGTGCGGTCCTGGTCCTACCATAGAGTAGAATCCTGTTCTGTAGTTCTTACTTAAAGAAGGTTAAACTATTTGAAGAGATTTGATTAATTGTCCTAGTGTTCGAATAGATTTTACCTATTCCCTAGTACAATATGGCAGTTAAAAGATGAAGAGAAAGAAATGCTCACTGATCTATTATAAGAGATGCTCATCTAAAAATGAAAAATGTATTTGTCTTTGTATATGTCTTCTGAATATATTTTCACGAAAACTAATCTCGTTTTCTGTTTGAAGCATAATTTTCATTACGACTAAATACGTATCTAAAATTATGATGTTTCCGTTTCTGGGAATTTCTTCTTTGAATCCGAAATATAGAAGCTTTGTTTCTAAATGTATATGCTATGTAAATATATATTAAAATGAGTATTCTCAACTCTCTCAACATTTGAAAAGTACAGTGTTTTACAAAGGAGAATGCCCACGGCACTATGGACAAATGTACTGAATTCAACATTGTTGTGTCTCCATGAAATAATCTTTAAAATATTCGATGGCATGTCCAAATACTACCTCAAAAGTTTTAACACAAAATACATTGGCATTTTCAAGATATTCACAAAATAATATTACTATTTTGAGGTTATGTCCGATCAATAATTAACTAAAAAAGCTATTTAAAAGGGTCTGAATGGGTTTTATGGCTTGGTATCTTGGAAGCATACTTATTTGTGTAAAATCTGTAACGTGTTAGCTATGTCAGGTGGCTAGTTACTGGTGGACACATGTGTCTACCTCACCAAGTCTTATTGATTTAGATTTTGCGCATTTTTAAATCTAACGCCCGCGTATCATGAAATTGCAAAGCATGGAAGGAACCGTTACTAAAATAGTCAATAGCTCGGTGTTATATCTTGGCCCTACTCAAATCATAGATGTGGTAGGTATCATGAAATGGCCTTTATAAATACCTACAGAGGGAAGGAAAACAAACAAAAACAAATACAATAAATAAAATAATGATTATTTCTTATTATTATTTTGTTAGCCGAGTGGTCGCAAGTGCGAATGGCGGGCAAAGGGTCTCGGGTTCGATTCCCGGGTCGGGCAAAGTATTACTGGGTTCTGAAAAATTCTCAGTAGTAGCACGGAGTCTGGAACTGTGCCCAGTATATGGCAATAGGCTCACCCCCTATTACATGGGACTCATAACATAAATAGTGAATAGTGGGTGTTACATTGTACAGTGGCATAATGTGCACTGCCTACTCTGCCTACCCCTTCGTATATAAAAGGCGTTATGTTATGTTATTACTATTTCTTTTCTTATGAGCAGTTGAGACATTGCATCACAGTCGCACTCGGCATGATCGTAACTCAAAAAGTCCAGTTATTAGTGATAAACAACACACACGGTGCTGCGACGTTAAAAGTATGTTTATTTTCAATGGATTGACAGGAATTACGGAAGAACTAAAAGGCTCGACTTGACGCAGAACATACCAAAATCAGCAGAAATAACAGTATTGTATTGTAAAAATATGACAGACGCGCAATAAACGTCAAATAAGGTTCTACCCATAATGATGAAAGATCGATTTTTTTTTCTATTTCCGTAAACCAGCCAGTGGTATTTCACAAATACAACATGGTGCTGATGCCGCCGTTTACAGTGAATGTTGTTACTTTATAATAATAGATTGAACAATCAATACAAAAAATAGAATACCTACAATAAAAAAAATAACATTTAGGGAACAGCGAGTAAAGTTCCCTAAGATCGAAAAAGGAGGATCGTTCATCGATAGTCTATGTGCGTAAACTGTCATGCTGTCATTTGACATATGTCGGCACAGACATACCTATAAATGGCGTACTATAACTTCGAAAACATAAAATTACTAATTAATTTTCAAAAAACTATCCCAATGTAAATATCATTCAAAGTCTGTTTAAAAATATATTTTTATTTTAGATGTTACATGCCGTTAGAGATTTTGAGACACAAGTAATTTATCAAGAGTACTGTCCATGGGCATTCTCCTTTCAAAGATGGAGGTTATTAATAGGGTGGTTTCCTAAATTTTATTTTAATGTGCGTCTGGTACATTAATTTAAAACTTTAAACACGTATTTTTTCTTTACTCACAAAATTAAATACTTATGACGATTTATTAATTTAAAATATTGTGTGACGTCACAGTGTGCCACATTTTGTAGCACGTTATGACGTAACGACCTCCCACTCCTAAACTTAACGCCATTTTATCTATATATTGCAACTTTATACGAGAAATTAAAAAAATAAGTGTCTAATATTTTTCATTATCTAACTGACGGACTAAATAGTTTTTAATTGATACCTTGGCCTAAAAACCTAAAGTTTGTCAGAGAGTACTACTGTTTAGTCTTGGTCAAATCTGTTAAATATCTAGTAGCTCTTTATGACTCCCGTAAAAGATTACGGGTGAAAAATGTACACCGCCGCCACCAAGCAGCTTTAAAAATTATATATCCACATTTACACTTCGTTAGTTCAAACACTTATTTATCCGTATAAAAATATAAAAATATAAACAGCAAAACATTTGCCCTAATTACCTATGTTATTTTTTCAGGAACACACATAATTATAATTAAGTAGTTCACTTACGAATGAACGAATGTAATTTTAATATTACTTCCAGAATATTCGTCAGGAATTTTCCAAGCGAATAATATAAAAATACTGAAGTGAAATTATGTCACATTCCATATGTAACATTTTCTCATTTGCTATAAATTCCTCAGCTGAAACATATTTTGTTGCTACTCAGAATAGTACTTTATTGTGTATTATTATAAGGTTTATACTTTATTACGTGTAATAAATTGTTTGTGAATGTATTCCCACTTCCTTGATGGCGCTCAAACTGTTTGTATATCATTTTTGAAAGACCCTAAATAATAAGAGGGGTATTAAAGAATATAACTTTAAGTTAGGCATAATACTTGGTTCTAGAATACAAGAAACAACTAATTTTTATTACCAGATAAAACCGAAAAACTATGCATGAGAATAAAATTTATTGGCCTTTTTAATAAGTTAAAATAAATGTACGATTTTAAGGAGAATAAAATCGGTTCAGATGATTAACTGATCAATGAAATCACTGATCAATCATAGCCTACCCATATAAATTGAGTGTATGTTTTATTTAAGTACAGTTTTGCATCTTACTTACCAAAAGGAAATTTATGTAAGCTGGCGATGGTGGCATAAGATCCTGTGGAACTCGGTGGCCTGCCAAGGGTATCGAGCCTTAGAAGAACATTCTGATGGCTCCCGTACGCAGCTGTTGTGTATGAAGTGCTAGAAAGAAAGTTGATGTTAACATCCAAGCATACTTTTCCTTAATAACAAAAGTAAATCAAAATCACTTGTCAATTTATAAAGGACTTCATAATTACAATTAACAATATATTTGTATAAGACGCATAAATATTAATAAATCATTCAATGCAGATTCAAAAATTAATCTTTTGTTGGAGATACATTTAGCAGTCATAAAAGCCTAGCACAAAAAATAACACTCGTATCGAAACTACAATCTCGTCTACACAAACCTCTAGAATAATGAACTCATAAAACAAAACAAATCACATAAATAATAAAAAAAGAAAACACCCAATGCAGATAATAATATAACACTGCAACTGCAAATTGCGGTCGGATACTGGAGAGATAAAATAAATATCATCTCAGTTACGACCAATAAACTAGGACAGTAGGTTAGAGTGGCCAACTGATCAGTAAACAATAATTTATTATTTATAGCCGATACGTTGCTAGTCCATGAGTTCCATATTGCTTCAAACTTGTTTTGGTGCATGCAGAGGTTCAATATTTAGGTCTTTGCCGATGAAATTAAACAACTTGACAGGTTAACGAGGCAGCTCGAAGAAGGAATAGAACTGGGGTGGTTTTAGTCAGTACAGTTAGAGTCTGACACTCCTTCTCGCCTCACCCAAGGCAGGAGAAGCCATTAGATGATAGTACCCTCTTAAAAAAGAAGTGCTGTTTTTCCTTAAATACATAACCTAACTTAAAACAAAGTTGAAATACAACGAAAAAGGAGTTTACCATGTAATAAAAAAAAAAAAATAATTTTGAATGAAAAATTTATGTTGCAATTACAAGACAATTGATTTGAAATTAGAATTCATAGAAAAATGGTAATATAGATTTGGAAAAAGGTAGCAGGTCCACAGTTTTATACATAACAATTCACCAGAATAGTATTAGACCCATCTAATTGGAAATGAGGCCATTGAAAGTAGATCCATATGAATCCAGAGTCCTCTAATTGAGACTTAAACAAATGAAGCCCGACAAGTATTTACCAACTATAAAATCGAATCTTGAAATCACTTATGTTAGCTAAGGAGTACCTTAAAATTTAAGGAAATGGGCATAAAGAACCCGTACTCAGTCGTAACAGTCGGTCATATGTGACCTTTCTAACCCTAACTCAAATTATTAGTCCAACATACGGATGTGGTCAACCCACATGATACACCGTGAGATGTATTGTATTGTGAATGTGTATTTATGGTATTATATGGGATCAAACCGCAAGACAATCGGATCATGATTGAGATATACACCTACTGTGGTGTGTGTCATATTGAAGCGTAATATGCGTATGTTTGTAACTGGGAATTGAATTAAGAATGTCAAGATAACTACATAGTTAGCAAATTATTTTGAACAGAAATAGGACTATGGATACGTTGTGGAAAAATAGGTGGCATTGATAGTAATTTCACTCATTTACGAAACTATTAGTAGACACATAAGAAGTAAATCGTTAATCGTTGCTTGCTTCTTGACTCTTCTCTGCATCACCCTAAGGTAGAAAATGCCTGCGACATTAAGTCCACATATGTACTCTTTGTGCATGACGCTTTAAAAATAAATAAAATAATTAAGTAAATATTGATCAAAAAATATCGTCGATTAGTCAATAACGTTAACTATACCCATCAATTTGTCGAGATTGAAAGTTATACTCCATATAAAGTTGTTGTTTTTACAAGCAATGCGTCAAAAAAATATCAAACCAATTTAATTCACAATAACACAATTGAATTAGCAGGCCCTATGTCTATGTAGCAATAGGGTAGTTTTCTAAATTTTATTTTAATATCCGTCTGGTACCTTAATTTAAAACTTTAGACACGTATTTTTTCTTATCTCACAAAATTAAATACTTTCAACGACATATTAGTTTGAAATATCGTGTGACGTCACAGTGTGTCACATATTGGAGCACATTATGACGTAACGACCTCGCACTCCCAAACTTAGCGCCATTTTATCTAAGTATTGCAATGAGAAAATAAAAAAATACGTGTCTAAAATGTTTTCATTATCTAACTGACGGACTAATTAGATTTCTAATTTTGAAACTTTGGACAATATCCAATTGTCTATTTAGTATTTATAATCATAAAAGTTCCCATAAAGCCATCCTTTTAGGTACCTACAACTTGAAGAACCTTTTTTTAAAAAGAAATAATTCTATTATACATAAATTTATTCGTGGCACACGAAGTGTAGTGTGATAAAGTCGCGGATATCGAGTAACTATAAAAACATTTTGCCTGTCTATCATGGAACCTTCCGTACCACATCATCCATCACATGTGTCGGGGGTCGCTGCCCCCTATATGTTTTTGGGAGTTGGGCCAAGAGGTAAACTGAAAGCGATCTGTGTTCATTATTGAGTGGAACAGATTTCAGCAATGAATTTTACTAAGAAAAGTTAACTAACAATAGGTTTAATTTCATTTTAATGTCCGTCTAGTAGATTAATTTGAAATATTACACACGTATTTTTTCTTTGTCTCGCAAAATTAAATGCTTTTGACAATACATTAATTTGAAATATTGTGTGACTTGTTTATAGCACTTTGTGACGTAACAACCTCCCACTTTTAATTTCATTTTATCTAATTATTGTAACTTTATACGAGAAAATAAAAAAAATGCGTGAATACGAGAAAAAATAATTTTTGTCATTTTCCGACGAACTAATAATTTTCATACCGTGGTACAAATATTTTTATACTATAGTAATGATTTACAATCGTTTTGCTAGTTAAAGCAGCTGTTTAAAAGTTACGTACCTATAGCAATTTAGTGGTAACTTTATATGAATATTCTGCACAAGATTACTGTTGACTATTCCATTACCTCGAGTTCAACAGATACATATTAATTCAAAATAAGGGTACTTTTCCTACATACTTAATTCGCTAAATCACATCAATTACACCAACAACAATGTTTAAGGTCAACTTCAACCTGATATTGTGTTGAAATTGGTGTATTATTGAAAAATTTATAAAGCTTCGAAGGGTACCAAGGGTCGGTCCCCTATACAAGAAATATTTTCAAAGAATTTAGTTTCTCCTTAATTTGGGGGCAGTTTATATGCCATGCATAATGTATCGCTATTGTATGCTTTGTGCATTGTTGTAAGCAAATTTTCGGCTATAATTCTACTACCACATAAAAGAAATTGAGAACCTCCCCTTCATGAAGTCGATTTATATAAAAAGAAATTGCGTGTACAATTGACTAATAATGAATTACGCCAAAGAAGTAAAGTTTACTTGTACCAATGATTCAGGTTTTCTTTTAGTAAAGTTTGGAAATAAGATTTTTCTTTGTATACTACATAAATAACAATAAATTTGATACTTTACAACATATAAAGGGAGGTAATGGGTGAACTTATATACATAAAGTTTTTATAGTTTGGTTGTGAGCAAAAACTCTGAGCTAAGGCTTTTTTATGACGCAGTAATATACACTATATTTTTAGACCTACGGAGTCAAGGCCAATTTTATTTCAACAGAATTTATAAAAAAGTATTTTCTTATTTACCTACTTTCAACTAAAAATATATTTCCATATTTGCCATCAGTCGGGTAACGTTCAGTAATGACGTTTTATATTATAATTCTATATTTTTGATGCAATTTTCATAATTTTCTTGCTTAATTGACGCAGTTAAAAGATCAAGAGAAGAAAATTTTGGAGAATACTGTTGCCTGTTGTCTTTTGGTCGCTAAGCACAGTTTTAAGACAGGTTCCAGTAAAATAATAAAATTAATGAATTTCATGTTTAACTCATCAATATTATATTCCGAATATCATCCATAGGATTATCTACATAGATATATCAATCAATACATCTGTGCTACGCCACGCTACATAGCGTTATGCTACGTAGTTCGGTCAGTGCTACGCGTCACTGAATCGTACTACATCACTGTCCGCTACGAACGTAGCTCGCTGCTACGAAATTTTGTGCGAAGTATTTCAATTTAATTTTTCGTTTAAATATTTTGGGTGATAGATTCACGTGTTTTATTTTATAATGTCACGCCCTGAAAGAATAAGTAGAGTTTGACATTTTCAATTTGACGCCAACTTGACACCCTGCAGCTGTAGCCAAATGCCATTTAGCGCTTGTCTACATGTAGAATAGAAAACCAATTATATGGAATTGACGTAAATTTTGACACTTGTTGGTGTCATACCGATACATTTAGTTTTCTACCCTCTCTGTAGACAAGCGCTAATGTGGCGTTTGGGTAACGGTCCAGTTTTCTTAATTTAATAGCCTTATAATAATAGTAGGTAAGCCTATTTTATTGCTATACACCGAGCATAAGCACATATATATATGGGTGTCCAAGAACCTGGCGTCCAACTGGATTCCCACGATGCCCCAAGTTCTAAAAGTACTCAAAAAAATATTTTAAAAAATCCACCCCATGTACTTACAGAATTATACTGATTTCAAAAAAAAAGGGGAAATGAGCACCCTGTGACATACTTTTGAATGCTGTGACTGCTAATGCTGATAATTTCGATATTTCTTGGAGGTTTTGTAATCTAGGGTATTGCTGTGTCTAAATAGAATGTAAAAATAAAGTACTTATTGTACCATTTTAAAATAAAATATTATTTTAACTAAAGGTGATATGGAAAACTATTGAATTTCGCAACTTTGACCGACTGTAGTGTAAAAAAAATGTACCAAAATAGTATGGCAAGTGACGTCAAATTTTGACGCGTTTATTCCTCTTTTTAAAAAGGTATAATACTTACACATTAATTTGAAAAAAAAAATTTTTGATAATATTTTTACTCAACAACCCAATTTTTACGATGTCTTACAGAATTCTTAGAAAGAAAAATTTACGACGAATTGAATCTAACCTCTAAAGAATTACTATTGTATGCTCATAAAAATAACAACAGGCCTCTCAAAAAACAGGTTAGACCGTAAGGG